AGGCAGATGCAGTTTTAGGGTGCGTGAACAAACATTTCTAAATCACACAAAAAAAACAGTCCTGGTTTACTCTGCCCTGGTCAGTGGCCGTCTTGACTTCAGGTAGTCCTGCATCAGCGACCGTTCGAAGGGACAAAGGAATCGAAAAAAGGGACACATGACCATTTTCACACAAAGGACGGTTGCAGCAGCCTCCCCCTGGTCACACGGTCACAATTCAGACACTTGGCAACTGGCATGGACTTACGACGGTTGCAGATTCCCAGGGTCACGTGATCCCCTTTTGCGACCTTCTGACAAGCAAAAGTCAGTGGGGAAGCCAGATTTGCTTAACAACCATGTGACTCACTTAACAAGGGACTCACTTAACAGCAGCGGCAGCAGCGGTCTGGGGTGAGGGGAGGGTTAGGGAGGGTTAGGGAGGATGGGAAGTTCGGGGTGGGTAGAGGGGGGGGAAAGGGGTGAAAATGTAATTGTAAAACTTTTGCAATAAAAAAAAAAAGTTAGGAAAATCTTGGCTGTCGAGAGTCTCAACCATTCAGGTGAGAAAATAGAATAACAGAGTGGAAGGGACCTTGGAGGTCTTCTAGTCCAACCCCCTGCTCAGGCAGGAAATCCTAGACCATTTCAGACGAATGGCTGTCCAATCTCTTCTTAAAAACTTCCAGTGCTGGTGCATTCACAACTTTTGGAGGCAAGTCGTTCCACTGATTAATTGTTTATAAAGCGGTACTTTATGAAGTTTCATGGTCGTCCCAAAGACCCTTCCTCCCCACCCCCAAAAGACAACTGGACTTCCTTGTTTTTTTTCCCTTTGAAAATGTTTTGCTTCTCATCCAAGAAGCTTCTTCCATTCTAATTTCAATCCGGTCAGAACGGAAAAAGCTTCTTGGATGAGAAGTGAAACATTTTCAAGGAAAAAACAACAACAAGAAAGTCCAGTTGCCTTTCGGGGGAAAAAAAAGCTTCTTTGGGTTAGGGAAATCTTCCTTAAAGTAAGAGTGAAGCAGAGGCCCCGGACGTGGCTGGACTTCCCTTTTCTGGCAGGGTCCAAGTGGCGGCTGCAAACTCCCCCCCCCCCTTTGCCTTAATTTGGATTCCACCTCAAGGAAGCAGCTGGCTTTGTAACTTTAATTTCTCCTGGGAGTCAGGATCCAGCAGGGGCCCTTTTGATCTGCGGCCAACCAAGAGGGGAGCTCAGCCAGGCTGCACCGGAGACCTTGGTGATCCAGTCTAAGCGATCTGCCTGCACCCCAAGTCTGGGAGGGCGACCCCCTGTAACAGAGGGCCAGAGGGCCCATGCGGGCTTCCCTCCTCCACCCTGACCGCTGCACTGTCCAGCCACGGGCATCAGTTCGGATGCTTGAGAATGGACAGTGTTGTGCTCAACTGTGGTCGTAAGTTGAGAACTACCTGTATTCTATGTCCGATGTTCTGAGTTCTAATTCCGGCAGCATTTCGCACCGAAAGCTTCACAGCAAGGAGGCCCCGCACGGGAGCTTGTAACGTTTGGCGCTGGGCATTGCCCTTCCCTTGGCAGAGGCACCCAGTTGCCTTGACCTGCTTAGGAATCTGGGAAGTATTTGCAGCCCCAATCAGGTGCCCAGAGGAGCCGAGATAAGAAAAGGGCCGTTAATGAGCAGCTGGGGGCCTTGCTGGGCTCCAGAAACACAAACACGGGAGCCGAGATTGCCTTGGACTTGGGTCACAACAAAGCGGAGAATTGGCAAACAATCCGTGAATCCTCTGGAGGGAAAGAATCAGAATCAGAATAGAGCTGGAAGGGACCTCAGAGGTCTTCTAGTCCAGCCCCCTGCTCAAGCAGGAGACCAGATACCATTTCAGACAAGTGGCTGTCCAGACTCTTCTTGAAAACCTCCACTGATCAAGTGCCTACAATTTCTGGTGGCAAGCTGTTCCACTGGTTAATTGTCCTCACTGTCGGGAAGTTTCTCCTGAGTTCCAGGTTGCTTCTCTCCTTGGTTAGTTTCCATCCGTTGCTTCTGCTATCATGTCCCCCCCCCCCCAGTCCTCCTTTTCTCTAGACTGGCCAAACCCAAATCCTGCAACCGTTCATGTGTTTTAGTCTCCAGGCCTTTGATCATCTTAATTGCTCTTCTCTGAACTTTTTCCAAAATCTCAACATCTTTTTTGTAATGTGGTGACAAAATTGGTTGCAGGATTCCAGGTGTGGACTTACCAAGGATTTATAAAGCGGCGCTAATACTTCACCTGATCTTGATTCTAGGCCTCTGTTTATACAACCAAGGATTGTATTCGCTTTTTTGGCTGCTGTCGCGCACGGCTGGCTCATATTTAAGGGATTGTCCACTAGGACTCCAAGCTCCCTCTCCCAGCCACTGTTTTTGAGCCTAATCTGGAGTTTTACCTTTGGTTTTTCCTGACCAGGTGTAAAATTTTGCTTCTCCCCACAGCATCGGCTCCCTAGGCAAAGGCCTCCTTTCTTGGCTGGAGGCTGTATAGTAGCCCTCAACTTACGACCACAAATGATATCCAGATAACCAATATCTCTGTAGCTCAGCGAGACAGTTGTTACGTGAGTTTTGCCCCATTTTACGACCTTCCTGGCCACTGTTGTTAAGTGAATCACCGCAGTTGTTAAGTTGGTCACACGGAGGAAAATCAGTCCAGTTGTGGAAAGCTTGTTGTGTGACTGGCAAAGGGTGGGCATAAACCCAACAAATGCCAGTGAGTGCCAGAGGCGAGTTGCATCGGCTTCCCCAGAGCAGAAAACTCAAAATTCAGATTCTGCAGTGGGAAACGGGTTAGCGGGCGAGAGGGAAGCTGTGTGAAGGATCTTGCAGCACAAGCCATGTGCCCTTTGGGTGCCATCAAGGCAACGTCCTTGGCTGGGTCGCTCCTACGCCCACAGAGGCCAAGGCAGAAGATGACCTTGACGCCAATCTCTTGTCTAAACAGACTTGGGGAAAAAAAAAAGATTTTAATTAAAATCAGTTGGAGAGAAGCCAGCTTCTGCTAAAGAGAGGCCCCCGCCCCGCCCTGCCCTCCAACCTCCCCTCCTTCCCCAGCTGGGTTGGGGGCCCTTCGGTGGCCCTGTGGCTGAAAATGGCTGTGGCCCCCAACCCAGGACGATTCAGAGATGTCCCCCTGCCCAGAACAAAAACAGGAATCTAACCGAGGAGACCCCCATATTGGACAAGGTTTCCTTGTCGCTGTTCCCACCCGGAGGGAATCCAGTCCCCTATTATTTGGGGAGTGGGAGTCTGGATTCAAGGAGACCCCTCCCCCAGACCAGATCTGATACCTCCATTGAAGAGGAAGGGTCCGTGTCTCCAAGAGGCTCATCCACAAATGTCTCCAGCTCTGCTATAGGTCCCACTTCAGCCAAAAACCCCTTAAGTTCATTCAATTTTAAATTTGGGGGGGGGATTTTAAGCATGTAGCCGAGTGAAACGACAAACCTGTTTGGTCCTCAACTTACGACCGTAATGGAGCCCAAAATTCCCATGGCTAAGCGAGAGAGCGGTTGAGTTTTGCCCCGTTTTACGTCCTTTCTTGCCACAGTTGTGAATCCCTGCCGTTAAGTGAGTCACATGGTTGTGAAGTGAATCTGCCTCCTTCCCCCCCCCCTTGACTTTGCTTGTCAGAAAGCCTCCAAAGGGGGGGGGATCACGTGACCCTGGGACACTGCAACCGTCATAAGTCCGTGCCAGTTGCCAAGCCTTTGAATTTTGATCACGTGACTGCAACAGGGTGAAAACGGTCATAAATCACTATTTTCGGTGCCACTGTAACTTCAAATGGCCAATGAAAAAATGGTTGTAAGTCGAGGACTCCCTGTATAACGCTGCATATTAAAAACCCAGACTTCAATTTCCAAAAACTGCAGACTTCAATTCCCAGAATTCCCCAGCCAGCATATGCTGGCTGGGGAATTCTGGGAGTTGAAGTCCAGTCCTCTTAAAGTTGGGAAAAAAGACTCTGCTGTAAAAGAGGGCTTGTTTATATTTCTCTCAAGTTAGATTTTTTGAGTCCAGGCAGTATTTCTTCCATCGTGGCAGCTAGAAGGGGAGGGGTCTTCTTCCGCTCCCAGAAGCCCCCAGCCAGGAGAGCTGAAGTCCACCCATCTTCAAGCTGGCAAGATAGAGAAACCTTGGTTCAAAAGTCTCATTTTGCAATGACCTCCCCCCCCACTCCCAATTTAGCGCCTGCAAAGGCAAAGCTTCCCTTTGGTGCCCTGTTTTTCTGGGGGAGGGGGCGTTATTCCCCCACCCCCACCCCTGGGATCTGGGCTGCATTGCCATCAATTCCTCCACAGCCTGGCAGCAGCCACCTGGATTAAAAAGAGGGACCGCCCCCCCCATCGCCCCAACCTTCCTCAAGCAGGGTGGGAGACCGTTGCCCCCTCCCCAGAGACGACCCCTCCTGGGGGCAGCGGGGAGGGCAAGGGTCCCTCTTGCGCCGGCTCTCACACCTGCCTTTGGGAGGCGAGGCTTAGGTTGCGTTTCCAGGCGTCCGGAGACTGATTGGCAATTCCCAGGTAGGCTGCCACCGCAGGGGGAGGCTCCACTCGATCCCCCACTGCAGAGGGGCGGCCCGGGTCTCTCCGACACCCACTCTACCCCTCCCTTTGGAAGCCTGGCTTGAGCCGGGCTGCCTTTCCAGGCGTCCGGAGGCCGATTGGCAAATTCCCAGGTAGGCTGCCACCGCGCGGAGAGGTTCCACGCCAGCCACAAGTGCAGCGGGGCGGGTAGTGGGAGCTCGGCTTCCCAGGTAGACTGCCACCGCAGGGAGAGGCTCCACGCGGGCATCCCAAGCGGCGTGGGCAGAAGGCGCGGCGCCCGCGGGCGCTTTTCCAGCTGGCAGTGGGGAGACGGCGAGGCTGGCCGTGGTCGGGGGCGGGGGGAAGCAGGGGGCGGGGCGGGGGCGGGGCCCGGCCCGGCCTGGCCTCGCCCCCCGCCCCCCCCCCCAGCAGCCCGAGCCGCGGCTCACACAATAGCGGCGAGCGCGGAGCTCGGCGGCGCTGGGCGGGGGTCGGCGGGGCCTCGGCCGGCCAGGGCAGCGGCCGAGCGGGCATCGTGGCCGGAGGAGCCGCCGGAGCCATGCCGGGCTTCGACTACAAGTTCCTGGAGAAGCCGAAGCGGCGGCTGCTGTGCCCGCTGTGCGCCAAGGCCATGCGGGAGCCGGTGCGCGTCTCCACCTGCGGGCACCGCTTCTGCGACACCTGCCTCCAGGAGTTCCTCAGGTGGGTGGGCGACCCGGGACCCCAGACCCCCCCACGCACACCCAGACCCCGCCTCCCCTGGGCATGTGCAGAGCGCCCCCAGCGCCGCCCCAGCGGAGAGACCCCTGCCCGGGGGTGGGTGGGCAGCCGATTCCCCCCTCGCCCCTCTGCCCGGACCCCTCTTTGCCCGACCGGAGGGAGCCCGCCATTGCCTGCTGGGGTCCCGTGGCGGGGAACCCCGTGGCCCCTTCCCACGCAAGGCGCCCCCTCCCCTGCCGTGCAGCCCTGCCCTGTTTGGTGCCCGCTGGCCGGGCAACCCTCTCCCCCCCAACCCCCACGGAAGGCTCGCCCGTGTTTGCAGAGCTCCGCCGAGCAAAGTCCGGAGGCCTCCCGGGCACCGGAGGGCTGGACCCCAGGGAGGAATTCGCCCCCCAGCCGGGGCTGGCCTGCCCAGCAATGCTGCCTGCCTGGTTCCCGGGTCTCTCCGGAAGGCGGGGAGGGGGTTCCAGGGTGGGGTGGGAGCGGCCGGTCCCCGGAGAGCCGGAGGGGGCGGGAAGCGGAATTTAACCTCGAAAGTGAGTGGTTGGCAGGCGGGAGGGAGCTGTCCCGGCCTGCACAGAAACTCTCCCACTTTCGGTGGTTTCGGGTAAGTCAGCGGGGCGTACTTGGTTGGGTGCTTCGGGGATGGGAGACCACCAGGAGATGTTGCAGGGCTGTGTGGCTGCATTAGGAAGTCCGAAAAAGCCCCGGAGTGGGGGGGGGGGGGGTTTTGGGGGGTTCCCCCCCCCCCAAGGATCCTTTGGAGTTTTTAAGAGAATAACAGAGTTGGAAGGGACCTTGGAGGTCTTCTAGTCCAACCCCCTGTCTCTAGCAGGACGCTCGATCAGGAGTGTCCAACTTTGGAACTTTGAGACTGGTAGTCCAAAACTCTTTAAAGTTCCCAAGTTTGCACACCTTTACCTGACATCATTCCAGACAAGCGACTGTCCAATTCTGGCCAAATCTACGGATGCCACAGGAGGCTACATCAGCCAGCAAGGCCACCGGAGAAAACAATTGGGAGGGCGGCTGCAGGGATGCAAACTCTTGCAAGGGTCTGGGGTCCACGCGAAAACAGTGTTCGGTGTTTGAGGGTGTGGGGGTACCTCTGTCTGCGCCCCTCTTTTTCCAGCTCAGGAGCCCTGTGTGTTTGCAAGGCAGCAAATTCTTCCAGATGGATTCTTGTTTTGTTCTCAATAACCACAATAAGCTTTGCAGGGTGAAATCCAGTCCTTTCGGTCCTCTTCTTCTTGTTGTTGTTGTTATGTGTCCGCGTGCATGCAGGAGCCACAACTGCCCCCTCCCCCTGCAGCTCTCTGGACTATCTGGACATGCCCAGGTAGCTTTGTTCCTGCTTGGGGTGGGGGCCAATGGAGGTGACCCTTCCCAACTCCGAGCATTAGGTTGTAAGGCCAGTTGCAAGGGGGGGTTTCCCCTTGGGCTCACCCCAAATCTCTCCCTGCCCCTCTTATTTGAAAATGTTGCATTTCTGGGTTTGGGGGGGGGCAGGGAGGGCTGCTGTTTTCCTGGCCTGGAAGGGGGGGGGTTGTCTCCATTGTGGGTGGGATGAGGAGGGTCTCAGCCAGCCCCTGCTGGCCTCCCTGCAGGAGACAAAGACCACCCCGGAAGGAAGGGGGGGTTTTCTTACAATGGCTGTTTGCAAACCTCAGAAAGCGGGGGCGGGGGGGTGTTTCTGGGCTGGGGGAGCAGCTTTGAGCTTTGGGGCTGAGCGCAAGGGGGCCGGCTCGCCCTGCCCCAGCTGGAAGCAGCAGAGCCTTTGACTGCAGGAATGTGCCTGGAGGGATTTAGGGGAGGGGGTGTTTTTCCAGCCCCAGCTAAGGCTTAGGGCTTCCTTCCCTGCATATCTTCCCCAGCACTTCAGGTGGGTTAGGAAGTTGCTTGCGGGGTGGGGGGGCAGCTGTGGGAACAGAGCCCCCCCTTTACCGCCTAGATCCTAGAAGTGAGGGAGGGGTGGGATTCCTCTTTCTCTAGCCCCCCCCCTCACCGCCAGTGCTGCTGTTGCTGCTGGCTCAGCACATTCTCTGGCCAGGCGCTTAGGGGATTAATTGCTTGCAGCCCCTCCTGCTGGGGAGATTGGCAGCCCCTCTGCTCTTTAACCCTCCCACTTCCTGTGGGCTCCACGCTGCCTAGAAAGGGGAAACCCCCCCACAGAAGTCCCTGGGATGGTGAGGGTATCCCAATTTCCCAGTCAGCGGGGTCCAGTCTCCACGTCCTCAATTTACAACCTCAGTTGAGTCAGAAATGTCTGTTGCTAAGTGAGTTTTGCCCCGTTTTACGACCTCTCTTGCAGCAGTTGTTAAGTAAACCACTGCAGTGGTTAAGTTAGTAACACGGTTGTTAAGTGAATCCGGCTTCCCCATTGACTTGGCTGGTCAGGAGGTCGCAAAAGGGGACACTGCCACCGTCATAAATTTTTTTTAATTTGGTTTATAAATGTGAGTCAGTTGCCAAGAATCCGAATTTCGATCATGTGACCTTGTGGGGGGGATGCTGCAACGGTCGTACGTGTGAAAAACGGCCACAAGTCACTTTTGTCAGTGCCGTTGTAACTTTAAACGGTCACTAAACGAGCCGTTGACCGTTGAGGTCTGCCTGTATAGCAGAGCTTCGACTGCTGGGGAAGGGGCTGAGGAAGGCCGGGGCCGCTGGGTTTGTACCCTGAAGATGGGAAGTGGATTGGTGCCTGCAGGAGGAAGGGGAGGGGGCTGCTTTGCCCCTACCCACCAGCTGGGAGCCGGGCCAGGGGAGTCGGCTGGCAACCCCTGGGGTTCTCACCCATCCAAATTGGCAGATGGGATGCAGGCTGGCAGCCGGGACTGACGGGCATTTGCTGAACAGGTGGGCTCCCTGCCTTCTGCCTTCACCTGGCCAGGTGCCAAGACCCCCTCCTGCAGCTCTTTCCTTGCAGGTCCCAACCGGTCCTGCTACACCCCCCCCCCCACTGCCTTGGCGCCTCCCTGGTGCTGCCCCCCTCCCCAACTTCCTGGCAGGTGGCTTAAGTGCCCGTCTTCCATCTAGGACAAAGCAGCCCTAGGCTGCCAGCCCTGCCCCGATGCCACTCTCCCTGAGAAAGGGCCGTCCCCTGCCAGGCAGAGGGCTCTGGGTAGGGGGTGCAGGAAGGAACCTGGGGAATTTGGGGGTTGCTAGGAGCCGCCAAGCGGAGATTGGCGGAGGGAGGGTGAGTCAATGTTTGCCCTGCTAGCACCCAGTGCTAGAATGACCTTTGGCCAGCGCCTGCTTTGCTTGACTTCCCGTGAAAGGCAGGTTGTTTGGCAGTGTGGTGGGGAGGGGCGTGTGGGGCAACTGGGGAGGAGTGTGTGGGGCAGGGGGGGAGGGGAGTTCTGCAAAAGGGCCGGCCAGCCGAGAGCTTCAAGAGAGGGAGAGGGTGGTTGCAGTCTCTGGATGTTTGCATATTTGCTTCTTTCTTTCTTTCTTTCTTTCTTTCTTTCTTTCTTTCTTTCTTTCTTTCTTTCTTTCTTTCTTTCTTTCTTTTTCTTTCTTTCTTTCTTTCTTTCTTTCTTTTTCTTTCATCTATATCTATCTGTTTGTCTGTCTATCTATCTATCTATCTATCTATATCTATCTATCTATCTATCTGTCTGTCTGTCTCTGTCTGTCTGCCTCTCTCTCATCTCTCATCTCTCATCTATCTATCATGAAAGTTATTTGCAACCTATCTGATATCCATTGTCTCTGGGTGGCTTACAGCATAACAACATTAAAACCACCAATTATAAAATAACGCGGCAGGTGAAACCATTAACTCCAGAAGACAAAGGAGGGAGCCAGACACACTCTCTCTCTCTCTCTCTCTTTGTGTGTGTGTGTGTGTGTGTGTGTGTGTGTGTGTGTGTGGGGAGAGAGTGTCTTGACCTCTGGAAGGCAGAGGCAGAGGGGCACCTTGGCAGGAAGGAAGGAAGGAAGGAAGGGAGAAGGAAGGCAGAAACCTTTGAATGGGGGGGGGCAGGAAATGGGGATTCCCCTTTGTCTCCAGACAGCCCCATATTTCCCCCAGGGGTTCTATTTGGTCCCTCCCCCACCCCCATCCAGTTTGCTCACTGGACTTACTGGGGGGAGTTACACCCAGTGGTTGCAGCTGCACATAAACACTCCTGCCTGGTTAACTCTGGTTAGCTGCGTTCGGACTTAGCCGACTGTGCATTTTTGGTATGGAATTTCCACGTCTTCCGACACCTGGAATCCCACATCCAGTTTTGATCACCACATTGTAAAAAAAAAGATGTTGAGACTTTGGAAAAAGCGCAGAGAAGAGCAACTAAGATGATTAAAGGCCTGGAGGCTAAAACATAGGAAGAAGGGTTGCAGGATTTGGGGTTGGCCAGTCTAGAGAAAAGAAGGACTAATGGCGACATGATAGCAGCCTTCCAATACTTGGGGGGCTGTCTCAGAGAGAAGGGGGTCAAATTATTCTCCAAAGAACCAGAAGGCAGGACAAGAAACAATGGGTGGAAACTAACCAAGGAGAGAAGCGACCTGGAATTAAGGAGAAACTTCCTGACAGTGAGGACAATTAACCAGTGGAACAGCTGGCCACCAGAAGTTGTGGGTGCTGCAACACTGGAGGCTTTTAAGAAGAGCCTGGACAGCCACTTGTCTGAAATGGTATCTGGTCTCCTGCTTGAGCAGAGGGCTGGACTAGAAGACCTCCGAGGTCCCTTCCAACTCTATTCTGATTGATTGGTTTGGAAAATTCAGGATGGAGGGTGTCTACTTTGGGGATTGGGCTCTTGACCGAGGGGGGTTTGGCCAGAAGAGGGGAAGAGTCCTGTGATTAAAGCCCACCCCTCTTGTGGACAAGGAGCACACATGGAGGGGGGGTGGGACCGTGTGCCCCCCCCCCCAGACATCCCATTGGCTGACGTTTTACTGGGCGGAGATCCTGGGTGGGGGGGGGGCTGGTGACAGACAGAGGGGGAGACTCCCAGGCCAGCTGAGACCTCGGTTTCGATCCTCCTCCGCCCCACTTCTAGCACAGGTAGTCCTTGACTTACCACCATAATTGAGCCCAAAATTACTGTTGCTAAGTGAGACACTTGTCAAGTGAATTTTGTCCCATTTTACGACCTTTCTTGCCACAGTCGTTAAGTGAATCACTGCAGGTGTTAAGTGAGTAACACGGTTGTTAAGTGAAACCTGGCTTCCCCATGGACTTTGCTGGGGGATCACATGACCCCGAGACATGGCAACCGTCATAAGTATATGCCAGTTGCCAAGAGTCCAAATTTTGTGACGGGGGGATGTTAAAACAGTCCTAAGTGTGCAAAACTGCCGTAAGCCACTTTTTTCAGTGCCATTGTAACTTTGAATGGTCACTAATCGAACTGTTGTAAATCGGGGACCGTGTGTGTCTCTCCTTTCCTGGCAAATGTAGCAGGGAGGTTGGCACATTGAGCACCTTGAGATGGGCGTAGAAAGTCATGGGCTGCCCCGGGCAGAGGATCTGGGGCTCCCCAGTGCCGAACCCGGTTTGGTGTGTTTATTCCGTGCCGCACAGATTAAGCCACCATCCGTTGCACTCTGGTTAAGGTGAAGCCATCATCTGGTGAGGCCGGTTGGCCTTAATGGCTTTGCAGATTCATTGACCGGCTAAGCCGTCAAAAGCAGCCAACAGCGGGCAAGATCTCCCTTTGGGTAAAGGGCACCGGTTGTGGCTGCGAAGAAAAGGCTTCCTTGCCCAGCTAAGGTGGCACCATCGCAAAAGCCACACAAATGTGGAATTTCCCACATTTCTAAAACCACAGGTGCGGCAAAGAAAAGCATTCTAGTCCTCAGTGTTGTAATCCCTGCATCCCCCACCCCCCCAGGGCTGGCATTAAGAGCTTCCAGGCCAGGGCGCTTGAATAAAAGAGCCAGCAGCTGTCGGCAGCTTCGTCCCCTGGCACGGAGGTTGGCGGTGTGGGCAGCCTGGTGGCTTTGAGGGAGACCTTCCTTGCCCACCACTGCCCCGTTCAGTCTTGGTTTTCCTCCTGCAGTGAAGGCGTCTTCAAGTGTCCGGAGGACCAGCTGCCCCTCGACTACGCCAAGGTGAGCCCCGATGTTGGCCAAGGCTCTGGTGGGAGGGTGGGTGGGTGGGGGTGATTTTGCCCCTCTTGGCATCTCCTGAGCCCCTTCCTCCCTGCTGGTGCCCGTCATTCTGTTCTGTCCCTCCCGCTCTCTCTCTCTCTCTCCCGGGACTGGTTAATCCAGAGCCTTGCCCGGCATCTGCTGGTGAAGCCAGCCAGGCAGGAATGAATGGAAGGCCCTGTTTGCAGATGGCGGGGATAATGGGGAGGGGGCTGCTGGGTGGGCTGGAAGGGGAGAGGAGGGGCTGCCTGGCTGGAAAGGGGCTTGCGTGCTCCTACGACCCTCCAGGCAGCCTCTGAGCTCCAGAGAAGGTTAGGGCTGCATGGGCTTTGGTGTCCAAAGGGACGGATGAAGGGAGGGAGGGAGGGAGGGGGAGGGAAAGAAAGGGAGGAAGGGGATAAGGGGAGGGAAGAGAGGAAGGAAGGAAGGAAGGGAAGGAAGGAAGGAAGGAAGGAAGGACGGGGAGGAAGAAGGAAGAAAAGGGAGGAAGGAAGTGAAGGGGAGGGAGGACAAGAGAAGAAGGAAAGAAGGAGGGAAGGGAGAAAGGGGAGAGGAAGGAAGGAAGGAAGGAAGGGGATAAGGGGAGGGAAGAGAGGAAGGAAGGAAGGAAGGACGGAAGGAAGGAAGAAGGAAGAAAAGGGAAGGAGGGAGGACAAGAGAAGAACGAAAGGAGGGAAGGGAGAAAGGGGAGAGGGAGGAAGGAAGGAAGGGGATAAGGGGAGGGAAGAGAGAAAGGAAGGAAGTGAAGAGAGGGAGGGAGGGAGGAAGTAGAAGAGGAAGGAAAGAAATGGGCCGGAAGGAAGGAAGAGAAAAAGGAAGGAAAGAAGGAGTGGAGGGAGAGGGGCAGAGAGGGAGGGAAGACGCCAAGAGAGCCCAGCCCCACTTGAGACCCCTTTCTCCCTCCAGATTTACCCAGACCCTGACCTGGAGGCCCAGGTGCTGAGCCTGACCATCAGGTGCATCCACAGTGAGGAGGGCTGTCGTTGGAGTGGAACCATCCGCCATTTGCAGGTGAGCAGCCCACTGCCCCTCCCCTACCTCGGCGGTCGGCGGCCAAGGGAAGGGAGGGTCCTCGGCCACCACCCCCACCTCCAAGTGACCCCCTTCTCTCCCCCCTCCATGGTCCAGGCCCACCTGGGGACCTGCAGCTTCAACGTGGTGCCCTGCCCCAACCGCTGTGGGGCCAAGCTGAGCCGCCGCGACCTGCCCCCCCACCTGCAGAACGACTGTCCCCAGAGGCACCTCCAGTGCGAATTCTGCCGAGCCGACTTCACGGGGGAAGCCTTCGAGGTGAGTGGGGGGTGGTTGACGATGGGGGGGGCAGCAGGGAGGCCCTTCGGGGGGGGGATTGTTTCCAGCTGCTGTCCATTGTAACTTGGGGGGAGGCTGAAATAAACAACAAAAAACAAACAATTGTGCAGGCCTGTGTGTGTGTGAGCCACAATTTCAGCTTTTGTGCAGGAGGCGGAAAGTCACTCCGGCTGCCGTGAACTTGTGAACCTCCTTTGCACGCCGGCTGGTGTGCAAAGGCTCCGTGGCTGCTGGGGAGGGATTTCCAAGGTGGTCCCTGGGGAGACCCTCCTTTGTTAGCAAAGGGGGCAGACGGGGCGTCTGGACGTCACGGCTTGGAAAGCAGCAACCCCCCCACCCCCGCCCAAAAGGAGGATATTGGTAGCTCAGGGTGGAAGCGAGGGGTCTTTGGGGTTCTCTGAGCTGGGTGGTTTCCTTACAGACATTTCATGACCCAGCTAGGGAACATCATCGGTGCAAGAAAGGAGGGGGCTTGTGGAGAGGAGGAGGAGGAGGAGACGTTTCATGACCAAAGTAGTCATTAGGACTGACAAAGTTACCTAGTTGGGTCATAAAACGTCTGCAAGGAAACCGCCAAGCTCAGAGAGCACCAAGCATTCTCTATAAATTGGAATAAATATTAAAGAAACCAATGTAAGATAAGGGAAGAGTTGTGTTAAGAAATATGTGCAGAGTAACCCTTGAGCAGCAAGGTTGTGCACATGAGAAACGGCTGAGAGTGATTGTGAATAAGCACTGTCAATACAGACACACTAAGTTGTGATATTCTTTTACTTTTAGGAAAAAGCAAAGCAAAGTCCAATAAACAATCCAGGTCATACACAGATAAAGATAGTTAAATTGTCAATCTCAAGGATATTCCAAGAACAAAGTCTTCTTACCCGTTGTTGTAGTCATATGCAATAAAACAGTTCTTTTTGGAGTTGCAAACAGGAACAAGTACAGCAGTAAAACAATCAGTAAAACAGTAGAAAAACAACAAGGAGCAATGATCAAGCAGTGATCATGCAGAGAGAACAGGCAGAGAGGAGCGGAGGTAGCAATAATAATGTAATAAGAAAAAATAAGCCATGATTCAAGCTTCCTCTTAAGTACGTTGGCTACAGAGCTAGCCAATCAGAACACAGTATGATGCAATACAGCCTTACAGCCTTAAAGCTATACATTACATTTTGACTGCAAACATGCATTGATGGTTTATATATATTGCCAGCCCAACCAGTTAGGCAATAGCCATTCCCTAACAAGTTGGCCAGATGTGGGGAGGACCCTGGGGTGGCTCAGAGACTTTGGGTCTCGGGCGCCATGGGGCTGGGGAAGGGTCCCTAGGTGTGTCTGACCTCCAGCAGCCCCGGACTCATTGGCCACACCCAGAGGGCCACAGGTTGCTCCCTGGGCTCTAGGCTCCCCTGTAGGACGACCCAGGTTTGGGGCTGGGGTCTCTGCCCCACTGGGCACCCCCTGTGGGGAAAGGTGAGATTTGGCAGGTGGGACTCTGCGCTTAAGTCTCCTTCAGATGGAATTTCCTGGAGTTCTGTTGGGAAAACATTTTTAGCAAAATGTTGCTTAACGCATTGTAAGCCGCCCTGAGTCTCCGGAGAAGGGCGGCATATAAATCAAATTTAGAAAAGAAAGAGAAAGAAGGAAGGAAGGAAAGAAAGAAAGAAAGAAAGAAAGAAAGAAAGAAAGAAAGAAGGAAGGAAGGAAGGAAGGAAGGAAGGAAGGAAGGAAGGAAGGAAAGAAAGAAAGAAAGAAAGAAAGAAAGAAAGAAAGGAAAGAAAGAAAGAAAGAAAGAAAGAAAGAAAGAAAGAAAGAAAGAAAGAAAGAAAGAAAGAAAGAAAGAAAGAAAGAAAATATATATATATATATATATATATATTTTTCATTGTGCAGGTGGTCCTTGACTTATGACCATAGCTGACAATTGTTAAGTGAGCTTTACCCTATTTTGTGACCTTCCTTGCCATGGTTGCTAAGCGAATCACTGCAGTTGTTAAAATTAGTAACCCGGTCGTTAAGTGAATCCGGATTCCTCATTGATTTGGCTTGTCAGAAGGTCGCAAAAGGGGCTCACGTGACCCCGGGACGCAGTGACCGTCGTAAATATGAGTCAGTTGCCAGGTGTATGACTTGATCATGTGACCCTGGGGATCATAAGTGTGGAAAATCACTTTTTTCAGTGCCGTTATAAGTGAATGGTCACTAAATGAACTGTTGTAAGTGGAGACCTACCTGTCATGCATTTCCTGAATTGTAAGCTGCCCAGAGACCCTGCCTCCAGATGGGCACTTGTAGAAATTAAATTAAAATAAAATAAAATAAAATAATAAAATAATATAATTTAATAAAATAAATCAATTTAATAAAATAAATAATAATAAAATAAAATAAATAATATAAAATAATAAAATAATATAATAAAATAGAATAAAATAATAAAACAGAATAAAATAGAATAAAATAATAAAATAAAATAAAATTTAATTAAATTAAAAAATAAAATTAAATAAATAATAAAGCATAAAATGCAATTGGGCCCCATCTGCCCCAAGGAGATTTCCCACCTCCCACTTTCTCCCTCCGCCTGGGCATTTCCTGGTGGCCTCCCATCCTCCCTTCCTTCCAAAGTCCTGGCTCAGAAGATCAGGAAAGCAAAGCCCCCCCTCTCCCGCTCACCCTTCCCTTTCTCTGATTTCTGCCCCCCCTTTCCAGAACCACCAGGGTCTCTGCCCCCAGGAGAGCGTCTACTGTGAAAACAAGTGTGGGGCGCGCATGATGCGTCGGCTGCTGTCCCAGCACATGCTGGCCGAGTGCCCGAAGCGCACCCAGCCCTGCAGCTACTGTGCCAAGGAGTTCCTCTACGACACCATCCAGGTGGGTCTCTGGGGGGTGGGGGGGAGAATGGCGCCCTGGCCTTTTGGGGTGGGGCGGGAGCGAGCTTGGGAGGGACGCCCCCTGCTTGGTTCCCCACACTGGTGGGCTGTGGGAATGCCCTGATCCGGACTGCAGTGCCCTTTGTGGCCCAAAAAGCCCCTCCTCTTGGCTACAGAAAAGTTTGGGGGGGGGAGACCTGTGGTGGGGGTTTTCTGGATTTAGGGGAGGGGGCTCAGGGACTGAGAGGGCTCTTTATGCTTCCTGCCAGATAAGGGTCCCCAAGGATGGTCGGGGGGATGCCTGGGTCTTCTGTGGCATCCCCGTTTGGCCTTTGGGACTTCAAGGGGTTCCCCCAAATACTTGGTGGGGGTTGTAGAGTAGAGCTTCACTGCAGAAGGGCAGTCTACCTCTAAACCCTAGAAGAAAGGCACACGCCGGTTGCCAAGTGATTTTGTCATGTGACCGTGGAAATATTGCAATGGTCATAAGTGTGAAAAACCAGTCGTAAGTCACTTATTTCAGTGCCGTTGTAACGTCAAGCGGTCACTAAATGAATGTTGTAAGTCGAGGACTCCCTGTAATCCTGCAGACTCCACACGCTGCCTTTTCCCCTCTTTCTCCAGAACCACGAGTACCAGTGTCCCCGCTACCCCGTGCCCTGTCCAAATCAGTGCGGGGTGCCCAATATTGCCCGAGAGGACCTGAGTGGGCACCTGAAGGACAACTGCTCCACCGCGCTGGCCCTCTGCCCCTTCAAGGAGGCCGGCTGCAAACACCGGGTAAGCCACCGCCCTCCTGGCCTTCCCCGGAGCTGGGCAAAGACTCTAGGCCTCCCCTCCCCTCCCCTCCTGCCCTCGCCCTCTTCCTGGGCTGCCAGCTCATCTCGCTGCCATGAATCACAGCACAGAAAACGTTCTTATTTCAAATTTCCCGGACTTCTTGCTTTGCTTTGGTCCTGGGGAAGAACACTCTGCCAGTTGTGCCCACTGGGAATACTGGTTGTAGTGCCTGTGTCTCTGGAGTAGTGGGCAGGGCGGGTTCCGTGGCCAAGGCTGACAAGTCCCCAGATGGTGAGGAGGGCCTGTCTGGCTTGGGGCAGAGACCCCACTTTGACTGTGCATGCACCAAGCTAAGGCATGGGGGCAGTGGTGAAATCCACATTTTTTTACTATCGGTTCTGATGGGCATGGCCTGGTGGGCCTGGTGTGGCTTGGTGGGCGTGGCAGGGGAAGGATACTGCAAGGTGGTATTTGCCGGTTCTCTGAACGACTCAAAATTTCCGCTACCGGTTCTCCAGAACATGTCAGAACCTGCTGGATTTCACCCCTGCATGGGGAGCAGAGGAGTGCTGGACCTCTCAAAGGGGAGCCTGGCACTGCATCTCTGGGCACCCGGCCGCCTCTACCCGCCTTCTCTCCCCTCCCCCAGTGCCCCAAAGTGTCCTTGGGCCGCCACCTGGACGAGAACACCAAGCTGCACCTGGGCCTGATGGGTGCGTTGGTGGCCCGGCAGCGTCAAGAGCTGGTCGAGCTGCGCCGCGAGGTGGAGGAACTGGCGGTGGGAAGCGACGGCGTGCTGATCTGGAAGATCGCCGACTACGCCCGGAAGCTGCAGGAGGCCCGGCTGCGGAGCAATTACGAGTCCTTCAGCCCCCCCTTCTACACCCACCGCTACGGGTACCGGTTGCAGGTGTCGGTCTTCCTCAACGGCAACGGCAGTGGCGAGGGCAGCCACCTCTCGGTCTACATTCGGGTGCTGCCCGGCCAGTACGACAACCTGCTGGAGTGGCCCTTCGCCTACCGGGTCACCTTCTCGCTGCTGGACCAGAGCGACCCCTCCCTCTCCAAGCCCCAGCACATCACCGAGACCTTCCTGCCGGACCCCACCTGGAAAAACTTCCAGAAGCCGGGCACGGGGCGCACCTCCCTGGACGAGAGTCTGCTGGGCTTCGGGTACCCCAAGTTCATCTCGCACGAGGATATCAAGAAGCGCAACTACGTGCGCGACAACACCGTGTTCATCAAGGCCTCGGTGGAGATCCCGCCCAAGATCATTTCCTGAGTGGGTTGCCGACCGAGGGACCCAGGAGTGGCAGGGTGAAGCCCCCCACCCACTTGGGTTCCCCCACTTTGGAAGAACGGTTCTGCTTTTGATAACGCTTTTCTTCCTGATCTGCCTTTCTGCTTCGGATTGTCCCCCCTCCCTGTGTGGAAATGGTGCTAATTGCTACAGGTTCGGGCTCGGGTCCAGCCTGGCTTGGGGAGGGGGGGTGTCTCATTCTTCCCAGGAGCAGCTGGGCTGCCTCTGCGACCCCATTTTCTCCCCAAGCACCCTTTGGGTCTCTGCCAACCCCTGTGCTGGGGAACGTCAGGAAACCTGCTGGGTGCAGACCACATCGGGGCCTTCCAGATAGGGAGGTGCCCCCACTTTCCGTAGAACAGCTTGGATGGGGGTGAAGGCTGGCACCCCCAAATCTTCCTTCGGGGTCCACGTTTGGACTGCTGTCCTGGACCTATTCAGAGACCGCTGGGGTCTCCCCACCCCATCATTCAAGAGCCATATTATTGCCGGTGGGCCTTTTTGCCTGGGGGAGGGGAACTGCTCACCTGGCCACGGGGATGTAGCCGCAATCACTACTCCTCTCTCCCTTTTTCAGAGTTACATTTTTCTGTCTTTTTAATAAATCGTTCCTTGTATTTATTAATTGATTGATGGGTGGCCTCACTTCTCAGTTCTGGCACAAAAGGCACCTAAGGGAAAGGGTGGGGGGTGGGACGGGGGTAGCCCCCTCCTCACCCCAACACAGGTCGCTCAGCCAGCTCTTCCTGAAAAGGAGCCTCTCCTCCCCCTGGGAATTTGGAGGGAGTAGGAACAGAAATCCTCCCCCCCCATTTTTGGTCAACTCTAAGCCAGCGGGTCAACTTTGCCCAGAAATGGGGGCAGGCAGGGGGTCCTTTGGGGCCACCACTGTCTTCTGAGGCTTCTGCCCAGAGGCTTTGGGAAGAGGGAGGCACTGTGGGGGCATTTGTGCTCTCTCAGCTTGGTGGTTTTCTTGCAGACGTTTCCTTACCAAACTAGATAATACCATCAGTGTTAGAAGGGGGGAGGAGGACTGAGGGGTCCTTGGTGCTCTGAGCTTGGCGGTTTTCTTGCAGACGTTTCATGACCCAAATAGGGAACGTCATCAGTGCTAGCAGGGAGTGGGGTTTGTGGAGTGGAGGAGGAGGTGGACTGTGGGATCCTTTGTGCTCGCTCAGCTTGCTTGATTTTCTTGCAGACGTTTAATGACCCAAGTAGGTAACATCATCAATGCTACTTCCTTATCCGTGAATCTCATCTGCCAGTGACCCCCTGTGCAGGCTTCCGTTGCAGTTGTGGGGGACCCCACTTTCTCTTCAGAGCCCCCCCCCCCCCCCCCCCCGGAGCTTCCGTTTCTCCCCCCCCCCCCCCCCCCCCCCCAGCATTCTCCCATCTCCCATGGAAGGTGCAAGGCCGTAGCTACTGCTGGGACATACGCACATGCACAAATACCCACATAAACACACACACACACATATATATATAGGTCTTTTAATGGCCGGGTGTGGATTCCTCCTCCCTGTGGTTGCATTCTCTGGATTCCTTCTCCCTCCGAGGGGGGCAGGGAGGGTTCCCGCTCAGGGCAGCCCTTCCACGTCTCCTGCTCCAAAATGATGCTCGAGCCCCTTGGAGCGTTTGCCTAGAAGAGAAACCACACAAGTTGTGACCCGGAGCTCCTTCCACACAACACTTGTGCCTGGGGAGGCTTCCCCCCACCCCACAGCTCCAGCCTGGGATTGCAGGATTGTGATCAGGAGGAGTAAAACAATTCTTGACAAAGGTTGCAAAGAATGCAATGGGATGGTGGGGGCTAATTTCAGCTGGAGACCCCTCCCCAGCCGCCTTGCAGCCCTTCTCTACAAAGGAAAGCCAAGGGGGGCCCCCCACGCCCCCAACTGCAACCAGGGGCCACAGGAGAACCATTTCCCTGAAGCGCTGGCGTGGCCAGGCCTGCGATCTTCACAAGCCACGTAAAACTAGAATTTTTCTTTCTGTTTGAGCAGCGACAATCTTGAAGTGTCTCTTATCCACACAAACAGGTTTTGCTGGTTTTTGTGGTGAATGGCTGGATCTTTGCACCACCCCCCCAGTCACTTGGGGCTCCTGCCTTGCTTGGGGGGGGGGAGACAGTGGGGGGGGGCTGCCGTGACTCCCAGGAGGTGAGGGTCTCTTCCAGTCTGCAAACCTTTGTGGGGGACGGGCTCTCCAGGGTGGGTTGAAGATGCAAAGCACCAGAAGAGGAACCGAGTTCGAAGGACGCATTAATCCCCTTTTTGTTTTCTCAGCTGGTTGCCTGGGCCAACGGCTGACTCGATACCTGATCCTCCAGGTTAGTCACAGGCCGTTAAAAGAAATAATTGCCGGTCTTTAATACTGGAAATGATATATTTGGGTGACTGAATCAGCACCTGGGGAATCTGCATTTTGGGGTTTTCTCTCTCCTCCCCCAGACGAGTCAGCCAGGCCGACGCCTCTCCTGAGTCAGGCCAGGTAGCAGGAACATTAAATTTTTTCCCTCTTCCCAGGACAAACCGGAAGCACACCGGAGTCAGCTGCCTTGCAAAAGTCACGTTCAGGATTTCTGTCGATTGCACCAGATTTTCCTGTGCCGGCCTGAAAAGAGCAGTGGCATTTAAGGGGGGGGATGGGGGTGCAAAGTGGGGTTTTTTCCCCCTTGGGAAAAGAGGCATGCAGAGATTGGGGAAGGCTGCTTTGGGAAGTTGTGGCGTTTTCAACCAAAAGGCCATTTCTTACATCCTGGGGCGGTTCTGACCTTGAATGTGTCATTCTGGGTACCAGATTTTAAGAAATGTGCAATGGGACTTTGAGGATGATCAGGGGAAAAAACAGAACAAGGACCAGGGTGACATGATAGAAGGGTTCCAGTATTTGAGGGGCTGCCAAAAAGAGGAGGGGGTCCACCTATTCTCCAAAGCCCCTGAAGGCAGGACAAGAAGCAACAGATGGAAACTCATCAAGGAGAGAAGCAACCTGGAATTATGGAGAAATTTCCTGGCAGTGAGGACAATTAACCAGTGGAACAGCTGGCCACCAGAAGTTGTGGCTGCTCCATCACTGGAGGTCTTTAAGAAGAGATGGAGGTTTTCAAGAAGAGACTGGACAACCATACACCATTTCTGAAAAATGGCAGTCCAGTCTCTTCTTGAAAGCCTCCAGGGATGAAGCTCCCACAACTTCTGAAGGCAACTTCTGTTCCATGGGTTGATTGTTCTCACTGTCAGAAAATTCCTCCTTATTTTCAGGTTGAATCTCTCCTTGGTCAGTTTCCATCCATTCTTCCTTGTCTGGCCTTCCGGTGCTTTGGAAAACAGCTTGACCCCCTCCTCAGGTGGACTCTTGGAAGTCAAATCTGCCCCCCCGGTGTTCAAATCCCGCTGCTCCGTTTACACATTTCATGGGTGAATTTGGCATTCCTCGCTTCCTTTCGACTCCACAAGATCCCCCTTCCCGAAAGGCCCTTTTGAATTTTTCACCAGCGCTGGCTCGGGCTGGGCTACCCTTGCCCAGGGTGTGTGTGTGTGTGAGGCTGGCAGAAGGGGCAGCTGGGGTGCCCAGCGTGGGGAGGAAGGCAGGCAAGGATGCTGCCCTTTAAATGTCACCGGTGCCCAGAGGAAGACAGATCTCCGAAGCTTTCAGGCCTACTGACTTTCCTTTTCGGGGTGGGGGGTGGGTGAGCAGGGGGTGGAGGAACAGCAGGGCAGTGGGGATTAAGAGTGAAATCCTGTCTCTTCTCTCCGCCCTCGGGATTCGGGCATTAGCTTCTGCTTTAATCGCTGACCCACATGTCCATAGGGCAGGAGCTAATTCTCTCAAAATGGGGCGTCCTCCCCTTCTCCCTACTGCACTGGACCTTGGAGGAAATGGCTGGGGGGGGAGGGAGGGGGCAATCTCACAGAGGCAGAAGAAAACAGCATCGGGGAAAAAGTGTGCAGAAGGGCAACTAAGGCGATTAAAGGCCTGGAGACAAAAACACAGGAAGAACTAGAGAAGAGAAGGACTGGGGTGGGTGGGTGGGGGGATGACAGCAGGATTGCAATATTTGAGGGGCTGCCTCAAAAAAAGGGGGTCCAACGCCTATTCTCCAAAGCAGGGGTCTCCAACCTTAGCAGCTTTAAGTTCCCAGAATTCCTCAGCCAGCAAAGTCCACAAGACTTAAAGTTGCCAAGGTTGGAGATCCCTGCTCCAAGGCACCAGAGGGCAGGAAAAAGAAACAACTGATGGAAACGCATCAAGGAGAGAAGCAACCTGGAATTAAGGAGAAACTTCCTGACAGTGAGGACAATTGACCAGTGAAACAGCTTGCCACCAGAAGTTGTGGGTGCTCCATCACTGGAGGTTTTTAAGAAGAGACTGGACAGCCATTTGTCTGAAATGGTGTAGGGTCTCCTGCTTGAGCAAGGGGCTGGACTAGAAGACCTCCAAGGTCCCTTCCAGCTCTATTCCGAATTGAAAATTGAAATCCGTGACCGGCAGGCCTGTGGTCGGCTGTGTCACTTGGGAACACATCCGAAGGGGGATGCAAATTGCGAGTGACACTATCTGCACCCTCAGAGCTAGAAAGGGGCTCACCCAAACATGCCAGTTGATCCTTTGTTTGAGCCCTCCAAGGGTCAGCCTTAGGAGCCCCTCCCCACCCCAGCAAGTCACACAGGCAGTCTGTCAGGTGTGAAAGACCAGGTTCAATTAAGCAGATTTATTGCTCAAAGCCACAGGAATCTTCTCCACTAAGATGAGGATCAACAGAATTCAAGGGAGGTTGGACTTAGTTTGCCTGTGGCTATTTAGGGATGCTAGACTGATGGCTCATTTCACTCCGCCTCCCCCGGCTCTGCCACTCCTTCTCCCACACTTATTTCCTTATCATCTTTTCCCCTCTTGACATTCCTTCCTTCCTTCCTTCCTTCCTTCCCTCCCTCCCCTTTCTTTTTCATTTTTTTCCTCCCTCTCATCTTTCCTTCAATCCCTCTGTTTTTTTCCTTTCTTATTGTCCTCATCTTTTTCCCATTTTCCTTTCAGGTCCGCAAGCAAAGGTTCAGCTCAGCTGAACTGAGCCTTCACTTTATTGCCAAAAGCCTCCGTGCAGGAATCTGCTCACGTAAAAGTGAGCTCCCTGCTCGGAGTCAGACAAGGGTCAACGGAGTTCAAGGGAGGCTGGACTTTCTTGGTGGCTACGTAGGGATTCTAGGCTGATGCTTCTTTTCATCCCGCTCTCTGCCAGTCCTTCTCTCTCTCTCTCTCTCTCTCTCTCTCTCTCTCTCTCTCACACACACACACACAGAAAGAGAAAAACTACGACTCCCAACGCTCCCTCCAGACCCGCCAGCCAGCTCAGGGAGCAGCTGCGCAAGGGAAGGGAACACCCCCCATTAGCCTGATCTGTCATTGAAGGGCACTTTGCTCCTCTAATTCGCAACAGATGGAGGGGAGGGGAAGGGGGGGCGGAGGGCGGGATTTCCCCCTGCGGCGTTAGACTGGCATCTGTGGGGAAAAGAAAGTTCATTTGCAAGGCCAGAGGGGGGAGAGGGCTTCAGCCACCACCAGATGCCCACCTCTATTGCTCTGCAGAAGGGGGGGGGCCGCCCCAACCTTGGGACCCCATCGGAG